TTGACTGTTTTGGCATAACATAATGTTACGGTATTGCTCACGATATCCTACGTTTATTATACGAGTTTAGTCATATTGTTACGTGCACCAAAATGAAATTCGTACCTACAAAACTCACCGGAAAGTCATTGGCATACCGTTATCATGGACCCCAAAGGTAAGCATACTCAGGTAAACCTGCAGGGTAACAGATAATTTTTCTGCGCTTCCAAACAGGCTGCCAATAAGAAATAGAAATATTTTTATCGCAAAACTGCCAAAAACAAAATGGCATACCGTTCCCGCATGTCCAAGCACAGCAAAATTTATAAACATTATGTAATTTTTTTTAATAACATTCCGTCATTTTATTCAGCATGAAGTTAATTGCAATAAAAATATATTTTTAAAAATTCCAATGTGTACAATGGCATACCGTTTGAAGGGGTGGTTCTTCATATTAGGAAATGGAAATGAGATTGTAATATAGAAAAGCAATTTTCTGTGTTTATAATCAGTATGTCATTTTGTTGTAGATTCAATCATAATGAAGAGAAATACCAAACGGCATACCAGTTGTGCGAGTTCTACAATCTTAAAAAAAAGTTGCACAAATATTAAAAAATTTGGCGTGTTTCTAATCAGTATGCTTTTTGTTTATTAAATTACTTTTTCTAAAACAAAAAAGCATATTAGCTGTTCACAATCAATTTGATAAACTTTTGATAATGTGACTGTATGTACTGTAGGTGTTTGTCTGTTCTATACACTGTGTGTAAAAAGTCCCGGAACAGTCAATTATTTCGAAAATGGTGCACAATATAAAAAAACTTCCTGTATAAAAGTTGAAGGTCTTAATAAAATCTATTGAAATAGGACTTATGTAATTATACAGGGTGGCCCAAAAAGTTGTGCTACACAAAACTTCATTTTTTTTAATGGAATGATCCTTTTTTAATTACATTTTCTTATTCCTCTGGAGAATCTAAACAACAATTATGAAACATGTCATATGGCTAAACCCATTAGTTTCAGAAATAATTTGAGTTGAAGGACATAAATACGATACCTACATTTTGCATTGTTTCGAGTTGGTTCAAAATATCTCACGTTAAATCCTGAAAAAAAAAACATTTTCCTTGTGTTAAATGAAATGTACCTCACTCAAGTTTAGTCAAAATTTTAATAATAACTAAATTATTAAATACAAGCAGTAAAGTAAAATTAACAATAACTTTGAAGGAACAAAAATAAAATTAAGTGTAACGCGTTATTTAATTAAATGCTGAAAATGTCTTGCACATAGAAAAGTGATTTATATTCTTGATATAGAACGCTCACTTCTGTTGTAGTCGCCCAGTGACATTTCCGACGGTGCTGCCATAGCGGTGTAGTCATTGAACTAATATTTGGCGGGCCGTTTGAATCTCGGTTTCAAATGACTCATTTGACATTTCAATTATTTCAAAATAAGACAGTGCTCCAAAACTTCATAAACTAAAATTTTATACATTTTATTTTCATATATTTGTGAGAATCACTTAATGAATAAAATAGTCTATAATCTAGATGATTTGGGCGTATCTGACTCATAAGCTAACTGAAAAACTTTCCAATTTGCTTTTTGAAAATGTCCATTTTTCCATTTGAATAGCTGTCATATTTGATCAAATAATTTATAATTCCCTCGAGCATGTATTATGGAGCATCATACAGTGGTACTAGGTTGTTTATCTCCAACAAAACCAAAATTTCTGTTTCTGTGTTGTTTTTGATGTAGATTTCCCTGGTTTTTGGCTGCAATTAGCTTTTGACCGATTCATTTTTTGTCGCATTGTCACACATTGTGGCAACAACTCTTAAACCGGCTGCTTGTGATGCACTTATTACTTCTTTCACAGTCTTAGAATTCAAAACAATCAATGACGATGCACTCAACAAATTAATTAAGATGACATATGCATTATGATGTCAAATGGACCTGCGTTTTTATGACTGGTTTTTTTATCCATCATTCTATGTCGGTCATTGTCATTTCCTATCCAGTAAACAAAGATAGCTAACTCATCGGTGAAGTCACAGATTAGAATAAAAACGAGGGGGACGTTGAGAAACGGCGATATGGGCGCACAGCGGTGTAGTCACGAATTAAAATAAAAAGTGGAGGGGATGAATCCAGTGAATGTTCTATTTAAGAATTTATAAATCACTTTTCTATGGTCTTGCTCCCACAGTTTGACAATGGGCTAGGTTATAATAAAATTTATTGATGACGTGTGGATGACGTTTTGAAATATTTCTTGGTTAATAGATGCACATTCTTCTTCTCAATTCGTTCAGATCTGCAGGTTTTGTCACAAACACTTTATTTTTCAGATGTCCCCAAAGAAAATAATCAAGGGGCTTAAGGTCTGGTGACCATTTTGAACTAACTCGAAACAATGCAAAATGTAGGTAATATCGTATTTATGTCCTTCAACTCAAATTATTTCTGAAACTAATGGGTTTAGCCATATGACATGTTTCATAATTGTTGTTTAGAATCTCTAGAGGAATTAGAAAATGTAATCAGAAAAGGATCATTCCATTTAAAAAAATGAAGTTTTGTATAGCACAACTTTTTGGGCCACCCTGTATAATTACAAAAGTCTTATTTCAATAGACTTTATTAAGACCTTCAACTTTTATACAGGAAGTTTTTTTATATTGTGCACCATTTTCAAAATAATTGACTGTTCCGGGACTTTTTACACACTGTGTATACATTTTGAATTCTTGTTTTTTTGTTTTTTTTTTTTTTTTGTTTTTTTAATATTCTACTATGTGTTGCCTTTTGCCTTTTGGATTGTATGTATTAAGAATTTGTAATTGTTTAATTGAAATGACTAATTTTAATTATCTTTATATACTCTAATTTAGCCTTGTAAATAACATCTGTATCTTTTACATTGGAGCGTATTTTGATTTGATTTTATGATTTGATATTTAAAGATTAATTTTCTGTATGTATTTGTTTTAATTATGACACACTCTACTTAGTTTGCTTTTCAGGTGTATAAATTGTATTTTAATTGTCTTTTCAATAATGGGTTTTAGGACGAAAATGATAGTAGTAAAGCAAACTAGACTTGTGGCTTTTCATTTTATCATTAAGTTATTCTTAGGTTTAAGGACATCTTTTTCAATAGGTTTTCTTGGACAATAAAGCATTATTTGATTTGATTTTGATTTGAATCCGATGTCCAAAGGTGAAAGTAAAATTTATCACCTTTCAATGCTATTTGATAGGGAAAGGTGATAGATTTACCTATACCTTTGGACATCGGATTCTGAACAGGATATACTAGCTATGTGGGTTTTGTATTAAAAACCGAATTTGCCGCACATTTTTCGCACATCGCGTATCGACATATCTACTCCAAATTTGGGCAAAGTCCCTGTTTTTACCAGAGTTGTTATCAATGTTTTCATGTATCATTATCATTTTCATCTATTAATAGATAGGAAGTATTGTAGCAAAAGAAGTGTGAATAGTGTGAATACGTTTCTGAAACATGGAAGAAGACATTCCAGATATTGTCCTATCCACTGACACCAGTACCGTTATCGCTATGCCACTTAGATGGTACAATAAACAAGACGAACAAATCGATTTTGACGAAGATGTTGATCAGCACAATCAAAGATCATGGTGCACCAAATAATACTAATGTTGCCATTTTTGATGGTTTTTTCATGCTCTATGTAATGACACAAGTTCCCGAAAAATTCGAAGATGTTTCGTTAAAATTTTTGAAAATGCTTTTTTCCAATCGTGCCAAACGAATATTTGTCATATTCGATGAGTATAAGGAGCCGTCGATCAAGGACACCGAGCATGTTTTGAGAGATAATTACAGCCTCGATTACAGCAGAGACTAAGGTAAAAAACTAGCGAAAATTGCTTTCAAAGGACAGTATAACTTTGCTTTTCTAGGTCCAGAGCAAACTCGACCGTCCGATTTCGGCACCGAAAAATATTAAGTTCAAAGAAAGCTTTGTGTCGTTTTTAATTGAGCACTGGATGTGAGCACTACAAACAGTTAATATTGTTGGCGATAAGGAGATCTATGTTTCTTACAAAATAAATTATCACTACAAAATTGTAGAGGGATCTACAGTCTACCAGTTAAATAGAGATTTTCATTGTAAAAACCATGAGGAGGCCGACACAAAAATCGCCTTCTTCTTAAAACAAATAGTAGACTCCGGCGATGTCGTAATTCAGTGCTCTGATACGGACATTCTTATTATTGCCTTAGGAACTATGGCGTACATGTCTGAATCTATTAAAGTTTGGTTGCTTTTTGGCACTGGGAATAATCGAAGATATGTAAATATTCAAAAACTTTATGAATCTACGGTTTGTACAGCTTTACTGGCATTCCATGCGTTAACTGGCTGTGATTTCAACCCCTCGTTCTACCGATTAGGTAAAAAGCAGCCATGGAAAATTTTTCAAGCAAGCGAACATTTTCAGAAAGCATTCGCTTGCATACAGGAACCGATGCATGATAATTATGAGTCATCTTTTGCAACTATTGAAGCTTATGTGTGCAGAATGTAAGTATGCAACGAAAAAAAATGGTCTCGAACATTATTCAAGCGCTGATGAGGCATGGTTTCACCTGTTTACACCCAATTATAGACCTCCATGCAGTAAGGAACTCCGCCAACATTTATTGCGCACAGCATATATTGGCAATATGTAGAGCAACGCTTGCTCTTCAATTTTGATTACTTATGATCCTACCGAATTTGGCTGGATGATTGATTCATGAGGTTCCACAGTTTGTCCATGAGGTATTCGTAGAAGCACATGAAACGGAAGGTAATATGAAAAAAATTATTACAATTTCTTGTTATATAAATATATCTCTAATTAGAGGACGGTTTTTGCTATAAATTTTTCAATATTACAATTCAAAGGTGCTGAACGGAATGTCCATGACAACCCGCCAATCATTTTTTTTTTTTTTCAGACAACGAACCTGATGATGAGGATGATGCTGATGATTATAGTTCCGATGATGAGGCAGATGACACCATGGATGTGGGCGTGGATAGCAAGGAGCAGCAGCAGGAGAGTGATGGCGTCGAAGCGCCAGACAACGATGATGTCTTTATTGATGGATTACCAAATTAAATTTAAAAAGTACGGATTTCATTTTGGTGCACGTAACAATATGACTAAACTCGTATAAAAACGCCTTATTTGCAAACAAATCTACAAGCATTTTATTTTATGAAGGACACGTGATGACATTGTAGTTTTGCCTTTATTATGAATGATTTCGTCAACTGCGCAAAAAGGCATACTGAGTAAAATCGCGGCCCAAAATCTGTCACTATCCCCCGATCTATTAGGGGAATTGATTTCGTCAACTGCGCATGCTTAGCTGTCAAATGGCGTTACGGTATTTGAAATTTGGACGGCACGAGAATTCTCTATTATTTTAGTTTGGTTCCCATAAACCTTACGAGTTTTATTTATCTTTCTGTATATTTTTCAGATATGTGATGAAAGTATGCGCATAAATGTTAATTTCCGATTTTGTGGTAGTACCCATGACAAAATTCCAGAATCGGAAGATTTTTGAGAGAACTTTCAGAAAAGGACATGGGAAATTTTTATTTATTTGGTGACAGGATTTTACGAATTATATTATTTTGTTCATAAAACGATAATTTTTAGGAGATTCTGGCTACCCAATACGACCTTGGCTCTTGACCCCTTTTTTACCTCAACCCGGACGAAGCACTCCAGAAGAGCGGTTTAGAGAAATTCGAGTAATTATTGAACGTTTCTTTGGACTCCTTTAAAGTCGATTTAGATGCCTCATTCTCCATTATGCACCTGGAACGGCCGCAAAAATCGTAAATTCCTGTGCATAATAATCACAATTTTTGTCTAACAAATAATATTCCGATAATTGATGATGGAGAAAATTAATCTCGATAATGATGAGGATGAAGTGCCGAATATCGTAAATAATGTTCCTGAAAATATTTTTTTCTACGAGCGTGCATTTTTTATCACTTTCCCGCACGCATCTTAGTTCCGAAAATGTCACTTTCCCGTACTAGTGCGCGAATTTGTTTTTCCCGCACTAGTGCGGGAAAGTGGCGTTCAGAAGAAGTGTCACTTTTGTTAATTAATCAAGCATTTTATCTATTTTGTCTGCATACATTTTTGCTAGATATACTAATTTATGCTCTCATAAACTATTTGAAATATTCCTATTTTAATCCATATTAATCTAATTTGTGAATATTTCAAAAATTTTATAATTTTTTTTGACATTGTTTGACTTTTTGGTTCCTTTGAGGCGGGGCAGTTTTTTTACCTTAAAAATTTTGTTTATTGTAACATGAAATCGATTTAATATATAATTTTTTTCAATCATTCTTGAAAGTAAACGTAAAAATATAAAAATAAGTAATTTTGTAATTAAACGATTTCTTTAATAATATATCGCTTTGAATTCACTTAGTTTTTGTTTTTATATTTGAACGCGCTCGTAGAAAAAATAATGTTCCTAACTCTTGCGGAAAGTGTCTTTCCCGCACTCGACTGCTTGCCCGAACTCCGCCTCGCGTCGTTCGGGTCAACGGCAGTCGCGTGCGGGAAAGTATCACTTTCCGCACTTGTTAGGAAAATAACTATTTTACGAAGAGGAAGGGAAATTCGACAATTGTTGGTCAATAATTATTTAAATTAAAAATAAAAATAATGATAGCTAAATATTATGCAGTTTCTTTAAAAATAAATAATATCTATTTGGAACCAAAAACTTATACGGTATGATTATTAGTAATAGTAGAAAAGAAAGTGTATTGAATACAGTACAAGTTCGGTAACGTAAACACGAAAAGTACAGACCCTTTTCACATTACCGATTGTTTACATTAATGAAAGTCCTTTATTTCTGTTTAAACTGAACAAAAATGTAAACATATTTTATGATTATTATTTATCGGAAAGTGTGAACAAAAGTACCTATACTAAACGCTAACTATAGGTTTGTTCTCACAGAAATCACAAAACAAGTCGGAGCGAATTTCATTGGTTGGAAATAGTCAGAAAACTGGTTGTTAGCGATTTGCACCAATCAAAAACGCTCTAACTAGTTTGTGATTTCTATGAAAATATCTTCAATATCAAATAAATTCTTTGTGGCCACTACAAAGATGGGAACTGAGGTATTTTTGTTTAGTTGTTTTTCCGCGGAACTGTATGAAATATCCTGTAAGTACTTTTCAAATCTTATAGATCATCAAGTGAATTATTGTATTGAAATATACCGAAAGCTTTCACACGTAAAAAGAGTGTCTCTTTAATGCCTAGAAGATGTAAAAGATTTCAAAACTGGGCTGCAACCCTATCAATTTCACTTAAATTATTAAACAGCCTTAAAACATGCTGTGGTAAAACTATCAAGCTATATATTTATAGATGTGAAACACAAAAACCTCCAGAAATTTAACAAATTAATAAAATTTATTATTTTTCACTACCATACATAAAAGAATTATCAAAAAAATTTGAAAAAATATTCAATAGTAATATAACTAGTGCAATGGAAATTATTGATAATTTTTGGGAAATTTGCTCGAATGCATTTTTAGTTGAAAAAGAGCACGAGTGCACGTAGTGCACGAGTGCCTTTTTCAGTTAAAAACGCATGAGTACAAATTTGTCGAAAATTATAAAGATATTTCCATTGCACGAGTTGTATTTAATGAGAGAATTTCATAAATCAAAAATTTAAATTTTTTGTCAAAAAATTTCAAAACACCAGTTTTCGCACCAGGGGGGGTTTATTTGAAACGTGCAATTCAAATACGTCTGACTAAGTCGCAATTTTTACCGGTGAAATACAAAAAAATGCACATGTGGCTTATTTGAAACTTTCGTCGACGCATTTCGCTAAATTCATCGACGCAAGATTGCATTTGACATGAGTCACCTCTAGAGCTCGTGCATTTCCAAATTGCACGCGAAAGTTATTAAAAATTTAAGTTTAGTCGACCAAGAATATTCTTGGCCTCATGGAATTCGAAAATATTGTTAATTTAAATGTTCTAGAAAGGGCCGAATTGTATAACCATAGCCGCAAAGGCTTCAAAAATCAAAGAATAGATGCATGCATTAACAATGCTTAGGTAATGACAGGGAATTTATAAAAAACTTTCGACTTTCAAAAGAATGTTTCGAAATTCCTTCCATGAAAAGCAGTTCGAAAATTTTCCCGATAAAAGGGCCGAATATTTGTGCAAAAATTCGACCAAGAGTTCTTTTTGTCAAACAAATCCGGACCTTCTCTTATTGGCACTTGCCCCCGCACTTTCCATCCTTTTTGCGGTATTGCCTACACTTATAGAAAGAATAAACTAAGATAATATCAAGAAAAAAAACACAGAACTCCAACTAAACACGAAACTGTATGCACGGAAATAATCAAAAAAGTTGTTTACATTAAACAATTTCAAATTTGACATTTCAATGCATCGTTCCGTTTGGTCATATGAAATTTTCTAACAATGTCATTGGCTAGAATCTTTTACAGGACACGTTGCCAAGTTGAGTAGTGCAAATTTGAAAATTCACGATTTACAAAATGCACCAGCTTTCAAATAAGCCGATCGTGAATTTTCCGAATTCGTCGACGCACATATTTCGACCGACTACGTCGCATGTGACAGATTTGCACGGATTTCAAATAAACCCCCCCAGTTAGTATGCAATTATCTGATAATTTGCACTAGTGCAAATTATCGCGTAATTACAATCTGATTGGTTCAAATCAACAATCAAAACATGTCAATTTATTGTTGGAATACCAGTTTTGACAGATGTATGAAATTCTCAATGGAAATGTTAATATTAATATCAAAATTTGTGCAAACATTTTTAAAAAATTTCAAATCTCTATTCAAAATATAAAGATAATGATGAGAATTTGAAAAAATCAGGAGTTGTTTATTCCGTAAAATGTAATGATTGCGATAAAAATAACATTGGGCAAACATCAACAATTTTAAAAGACAGAATAAATAGACATAAAAGTGACTATAGATTGAATAAAAGAAGTTGCAACTTATCTGAACATAATATATTGGATACAAATTATATGTTTGATTTTTTAAATCCCAAAATTCCGGAAATAGAACAAAATTATAATAAAAGATTATTTTTAGAAATGGTTAACATAAATAGTGATAAAAATTGTATTAACAAAAAGAAAGACATAGAAGATCTAAATATTATTTATTCCTTACTTTTAAATTCTATATCTCAATAGAGACTTATTAGTTATTACAATTACTAAAATTAAAAAAAAAAATTGTAATTGAATCTTCTTACCAAAACTGTATAAAGTAATAACCGAACATTGCAATAATTACCATTGTTGAAAACCATTTTATATTTCTTGACAAATTTCAATTCACTTTTCAAAATTATTAGAAGCAAAATTCAAAGATTAAAGCAAGAGTTCAATAAAAAGAATAAATTCTCAAGAAATTTTGAACAATGGCTAATTCTAGAATAAATTAACTAACTTTACACGTAGGTTTTTATACATATTTTATATTTTCAACAATTTTTTATTTCGCTTCATACTTTTAGCCTTGATAAAGGAAACAATAAAATTTCCGAAAATTCGGCGTTTGTGAAAAACTAGTTTTATTTATGCCAAGACTGCATCCCAAGAATCATCTCACTTATATATTTATATATATATAGAGCCTCGTAACAGAAGGGTATAATACGAAATATTTTTCTTTGTTGTAGCTAAAACATGTCGAGAAAGATGGTCAAGAATAAGGGAGAATTATCGGAAAGCTCTCAATTTGCGTAAAACGAAGAGTGGACAGGAGGTCAAGAAAATCAAAGCTCCAAAATTTGAAAAAGAATTGAAATTTCTGGTCCCATACATTTTTGACGAAGAACGAAGATATTCCAATATTGTTTCACCCAGTTTGCATTCAGCAGAATCAGGCAGCGATGCAGATGAAACTGAGGCTTTTGTAGAAGTCTAAACCCAGTCAGCAGACGAGACATCGTCTACTGTATGGTCTTTTGTCACTACGCCCAGTACTTCTGTCACTACGGCCAGTACTTCAAATAGAAACGTAAATATG